TAACATTCTGTAATATTCTAGTGCTTTCTGGAACATTCCAGAACACTGTGGGACTAGTAATAAAATCATCCAATGTATACTTTTGGTAACTGCTTATGTTAAACTGTTGTTAGCTCTGCATTATGCATGTACCATGCAATTTTTGTGCATGAGTAATAACAGATTAGCTTGTACAAGTTGTCAACATATTTTTTTTTAGTTTTCACGGCACTTTTAATGATACAAAAAATGTAACGTGATTTTCAGATTAAAAAACAAAACAAAAAATAAAATGCAAAACAAATTTTATATAAAAAAAAAGTTGTTTCACGGTGGAACACTTTAGGGTCTTAATGAAAAAAGAAATAAAAGTAAATAAATAAAAAACAGGGGGTGTCAGGGGGCATTAAGAGCTGCAATGAACCAGACAGAAGTTTAGAACATTTAAAGCCTGCAACACCAAAGACAAAACAACTTTGCTTTACAAATATTTACAACACTTGGGTCATTGTTTACAAACCAAGAAGAACGCTTAGTTAAAGGTCCAGTGAATCCACAAACTATTATTCCATCAACAAGTACTCAAAAGAAAAATGTGCCAGTAAGGAAAAAAGAAATAAACAATTGGACTCTAATTGTATACTACCAGATGGTTAATGTGGATGAATAATGAATGTGTTTGAGTGTAGAGTGCATTACTCCACCATGTCCTTTGGCTCCCCCATGAGGTTCAGAATCACAATGTTCTAATGTGGACACACATCAATTGAACTGATTTAAAGTGCTGGAATATGTACTAAAAGCTCATGTAACTTACTTTAGCTCTTTGGCTGGCAGCTTTGCTCTCTGGGTCACTGTCTTCATCAGGGAACACCTTTTCCAAAATCAGAAAGGACAGCAGACCCCCTATCACCCACAAACCTTGCGTATGATAGTGGCTGTGGGACCCATCTATCCAGCATATGCAAACAAACAAAAAAGGGGGGATTTTCCCCTTTTTTAATAACACTTCATTAAGCTCTGTCCAGTGCAGTTAACAACTAAATAAAACTTAGTGCAACTAAAACTATTTAAAGTTTTGCTGAAATAAACTGCATAAAGGAAATGCTGCCTTGGAAACTAACTGAAATACTATAAGCTAAAACTGAAAAATAAATCTAAATGGAAATATAAAAAGCCTAATAAAAGGGAAAAAAAAAATTCACAATTACTAAAATTAAGATGAAAACTGAAAACATAAAAGTAAATAATTAAAATATGAATAAGTTATATGCTTGTATACTATAAATACTAAAATTATACTGGCTCTGCTGTACTGTATATTGACCAAACCTGCCTTTATTAATAATATTTGACAAGCTTTTGGTCTTATAATACCAAATAACAGTAACACCTATAATAGTAACACAAATACCCAGAGTGGACTTTTTAAAAAATGTTAATAACACTGTGTGAGTCTTGAATGGCAAAAATTAGTTGCCATTTTCCATATCGATTTCAAGCAGAGTTACCAAGGGGACAGGGTTTAGCAAAGGGTCAATTAGTACACACTATTGATGTTAAAATGTTACAAAAAAGCCATAGTTTCTTGTAAACAATGTAAGGGATTCCCATTCAGGAGAGAGGTTTGGTGGTTGGGAAGAGAAAAAAACCCTGACAACCACACCAAAGCACAGATGAATTACAAAACCACACATGCTTACGACTACCGGGAGTCACAGAAAAGACAGAGTTATTAAAAAAACAGACCAAAAAGAGACAGAAACAGAAGCACTCATTCAGATGACGATTAATTCATGAACAGCAGCAAATGTTATATATATAATAGGAGAATTCTCACCAGGACTGGAAGTGTAAGCCCAGGCTTCAGGAAGGAGGTGGAGAAACACGTCACCTAGGAGACTACCAATGGCAAAACTCAGCAGCTTCTTCAGCTTCTGACACCCAGC